TTACTATTTTTTTTCTAAATAATGAATTAAATTAAATGAAATAATAAATACTTACTAAAAGAGATATTAAAAATTCAGTAGAAGTGACTCACGTAAAGTAAAAAATGATATATTTTTTTAAAACAAAATTTGACCACTGAATGCATTTGGGAAATGTGTCAATAATGTAGTGATCATGTTGTGTTAGCAGTAGACGGAATCTATTAATCGATTAATTAATTACTAGACGATAGATACGTAGGTTTGTGGTGTCAATATTGAGTTCATGGTTAATGCATCGCCAACTATCTCCAGTTACTAATCGCCTCCCGATTTCTAAAACTCGATTAAGAATTTACGGGAAATATTTTATATATATATATATATATATATATATATATACTCTCTAAATCTGAATAAGTGAAATTTTCACTTTTTTCATGTGTGAACCTTTTTCTCACTTATTAATAAGTATAATCTACTTATACATAAGTGAAATATTCACTTTTTTATGTGTGAACTTGTCTTCACTTATAAATAAGTGAAATATTTAGTTAAAAAGAAATTCATCTGCGCATTATATTACAATTTATTATTTATACCAACTTTTAAATGTTTAAAAACAATGTTTTTATCATTTTAGTTAATATATTAGAAATTTTTTATTTTATTTAATTATAAAAATTGCCATTTAAAATTTAATAAATTTTTAAAAAAATATTCAGTTATAAATATTATATTAACAGTAATCTAATAACTAACTTTTTATTAACTGAGTATTTATATACAAATATAATAAGAGAAATCTTAAACAAAACGTTAAAGTAGAACACAATAAACTAACTCTTTATAAGTATCATCCAATAATTTTCTATGAGTATAAGGCAACTTATTAAGTGGCATTGTATAGTGTTTCTCTTTGATCATAAAAGTTAAGCGACATTGCTTGCAGTTAATATTAGGATGGGTGACCGTTTGGGAATTTAGTTTAAAAAAGTTGAAAAATTGATATGTTTATAAGTTTCAGACTGATAATGAGAAGAGAAGAGGCGTGTTAAATAGTTGATAGTAAATAAATATTTTTTTTATATAATATTGATCCTGATTATTTATTTACATTCACTTCTTAATGTCTGAGTATTCACTTATCTCATAATTGAATATTCACTTATTCCTAAGTGAATGTAATTCACTTATTCATAAGTGAATATAATTCACTTATTGAATAAGTGAATATAATTCACTTATTTCATGTGTGAATATTCACTTATTCAGATTTAGAGAGTATATATATATATATATATATATATATATATATATATATATATATATATATATATATATATATATATATATGTATATATATATATGTATGTATAGATATTGATTTCACATGTGAAAATATTCACAAATATTCTTTTATTTTATCATGATTGATAATAAATCCTAAACAAAGTGTTTAAATGGATTTTTAAGAAGTAGAATTTCAAATTTCGTGATCTTTCGCCATCTATAGGGACGCCATGGCGTCCAAACTTCTTTAAAATTAAATTAAATATTTTCGAAAGTTCTTAATGTTGATTCTTGTCATCTACCAGGAACCCCAACAAATCTGCTGTTACAGTAATTCAAATATTTTCACTAGGGTAAGTGCATCAATTGATGCGGATGCTTAAATTGCTGCGCGTTTGTGAAATGTGTTATTATTTATCACTTAAGAAAATATTAATATTAAAAAACGTTGAAAAAATTATTTTGATCAATACCTGATACAATTATCTATAAAGATATACATTTAAAATAAAATTACTTTAATTATTTAACTTGAAATTCTTCTTACCGCAGAAACTGAAACATACATATGAAATGCATGTGCTTCAGTTGCTGCGGGAAAAATGACATCTAAATGCTTGTTATTTTAGCCGTAGAAACTGACGCGCAGCAATTGAGACAGCGCGCAGAATTAGACGCTTTTGATATTCTTTTTAATTATTATTTAAATTTAATCAAATGCTATAATTTTATAGGCTGTTAATTGTTGTAAGAATTTCTTAAGAATAAATACAATTAGTTTAATAAATTTTTAATTTAATTTCTTTGCTATAAATATTTTTTTTTTTTTTTTTTTTTCTATGAAAAAGATATCTTGGCTGGAATGCTGCAGGAACTAGTGCACTTACTTTCGTGTTTTGGCTACCTGCTATGCAACAAGCCATGTAACCAACAAAAAAAAAAGTGCACTTACTTTAGTTTCAAATTTCGCGCCCTTTTGCCATCTACAGGGACGCCATGGAAACTTAAACATATTTTGTGCAAACTTTTCTTCTAATGGATGAAACGTATTTACATTCAAGTTTTCTTCAGTATTTTCTAATTTTACATAATTCCAATTTAAAAAAAGTTCAATATGGAGAAATTATTCATGCACGTGCTTATATTTACAACTATAATTCTTCTACTTATGAAATTTTAAAGCTGAACTAACGCGTGAAAAAGCAGAACAATATTTTTTTGCAAGCACAACAAAACACCAGATATTAGAGAGACAGAGTTATGAATTCTAAATCGGAATTCTTTTTGGATTTTTTCAATCTACCCGAAAAAAAGTGCACTAAAAAGAAACTATCGAGAGACAGTTTTCGAAACAGAATAGATATATGAAAATTTTATTCTTTTTCCCCATAAAATTGAAGTCGTATAAGTCGAATTTATAGTCTCTATATATATAGTCTCTATATATAGTCTCTCGTTAGAACAATAAAAATTGTGAGATTAGGAAAAATCTAAGTTTAAAAAAAAGAAAGAAAAAAATGAATCGCGATTTTGAAAAATGTTTTTAAAAAATGAATGATTGGAGTAATTTTGATGATATCAGTGATTATTTTCAATTTATTCAGCAGTAAAATTGCGCGCTCTGCCCTCTTCAGTCCGGATAGCGAGATAAATTAATCAAAGAAATTCAAAGAGTTTACATTAAAATTTCTTTTTTCTTTTGCGGTTTCAAATTTTTTTAGAGGTAAAAAAATGTATTTTTTCTTCTTTTGAAAATTATTGTAAACTCCTTGAATATAATGCGTCGACGAAGCTGCAAACGACACAAACTTGACACAATTTTCAAGTGATGTGGCGTGTCGTGTTCGCCGACATCTTGACAAGCATTGTAAGTTCGAAATCATAATTAAATGTAACAACACGTAACAAACAAGTCTTGACAATCACTTTAGCGATGCTTCGAACAACGTAACTTGTTTTCAGGGGCTCACGCTCCACACTGTTCTCTGATACCAGGCTTTCAGAAAATATTTTTTTTAATTTAGACTAGATTTCCAAACAAAATTCTATTCCTCCACAAAAAAATAAAAGAAAATACAAAACTGAATTTTTTCGTCAGGGATTATTACAAGACCTTCGATTTATCTATAAAGAAATATCAGAGTGAAATAAAAATCTGAGGTTTAAACAACATCCTGCTTGGTCCAGGTAAGGAAATTTGATACGAAAAGTTCTTTCGCCAGATCGTGGGCGATGCAACGCAAGATAATCAAGTCAGTAATACGATCGGCAAAGCCACCTGTTTCATATGTTGTCCATAAAAAGAATTTGACTTTGATTTCTGTTTTAAATTATAAAATGCTCTCATTCTCGTATATAGGATGCGCGAGAGATATTTCTCATCGTGGCTTAACCTCCGGAAACCCCATGAGATCAAACTCACGTTTCAAGAGCGCTCAAATCTTCTATTATATATGTGAGAAACGAAACACAAAGTAATCCTCAAGTGCAATAGACGAAAATCCCTTTTTTATGAAGGATAAGTTAATAATGGTAACAAAGAAACAGTCAAGCTGACGTACATTGCAATTTTAAAAGTCAATGTCCACAGTCAATATTTTTACAAGCTTTATTACAAAGAAAACTAGGTCAAATTTTCCAAAATTCGTCTAAATATCTTTCACTTTTTTACTTCTCGTGAAAATAGTTTCTTTTTGATATTTCTTATCAAACCTCCAAGTATATAACAATTGTGCACTGAGAAAACGATTTATTTGATTCAAAAAAATTTTGTTTAAATCAAACTTAAAATATCTTTCCTATACAGTCAAACAAATTTAAGTTTAATTCAAACATATTTTTTGGTTCATTTATAAAAATAATATATTCAATTCAAACCTAATTTATGGTTGATTTTAAATTATTTCTAATCAACATTTAGGTTTGGATCAAACATAACATTTTTGAACATATTTTTTGTTTAAACCAAAACAGAAAATATGTTTAAATTAAACATAATTATTAAAACAAATATTATTTTTAAATCAAAGCAGTAGATATTTTTTATATAATGGGATTAAGCTTACAAACTACTTTCAATTAAACAAAATCACTTAAAACTATTTTTTCACTTGAATCGAATATAATGTTTTCTCAGTGTGCTGGAAAATTAGTCTTTTTTATTGTTAATTACAAAGCCAATTGATAAAGATAGAAATTAGGATTCCCACAACCAGAAAATAATTTTTTTTTTAATTTTAGACTACTTTTCACAATTTAAAATTGCCGATGCCAATAGCAAATTTTCCAATTAATGAGTTTTATCGGGGAAAGAAAAAAAATTTGAAAAAAGAGAGAATCAGAAATTAAATAACTAGCCCCGTTTGGATAATCTTGAGCATATCAGTATTACAAAAGAACCTAATTAAATTTTCAACAGGTCTTTTTAAAAAGCAGTGTAATTACACACCAATTTTTTTTTAAAGTTCGATTTGTAAAAAGAAATATTTTAGAGAGTAAACGGAAAAGTCAAGTGATTCGAGAGGTTTCCGGAGACAAATGAGCCTTACGATGATTCTTACCAAGAATTCGTCGACTGATTCATTTGGTCCTCTCCGAGAAAAAAGTTTATTACGGATGTTCTCGGATAACGCGGCAGTTACTGGTACCAGGATTGTGCCCTTAACGAGCGGAGCCCCTTTCTTTAACTCACGGATAGAGAGCAGAGAGGGAGATGTCCGATATCGTACCGTGTCGCCTACCTTCTTCTCCCACTGGAGAACATACGGCACTGGATGCTGCTCAGGAAACTCTACATGACAGTTGAAGACCACACTCTCACCCAAAATTGCCGTTATGTGTTGAGCATCTTGATGGCAGAGACCTGAAATAGAAAGGTAAATTTGTTTTAGTAGACAAAAAAAATTATTTTAAAAGTTTACAAATCAAAATAATTGTATTTATAAATGCGGTTAGGTATTTAAATAAGGAAATACAAAATTCAGTTAGAAATTAGTTTTATGAGTTTTGAATATCGAGCACTTTCGCTATATACAGGGACGCTACAAAAACACGTTTCATAGAAACAGAGATATTTTTAGTCATTGAAATAGTTTTCCAAGTTTCAAATTTGTCGCCCTTTTACCATCTACAGGGACGCCACAGAAACTGAAATTTATGCTCAAGTTATAAATTTCACAAGTTTCAAATTTTGCTCCATATTGACATCTACAGTGACACCACAGAAACACTTTTTATAGTAACTGAAATTTATTTGCAAGTTTTAAATTTCCCGCCTTTTCGCCATCTACAGGGACGCCATAGAAACACTTTTTACAGTAAGTAAAATGTATTTGCAAGTTTTAAATTTCGCCACCTACAGGGACGCCATAGAAACACCTTCTACAGTAACTCAAATATTTTCAAAAGCTTTAATTTTTGTGATTTATTACCATCAACAGAGACGCCACAAAAACTTCTTTCACATACATTAAAATAGTTTTGCAAGTGTGAAATTTAATGCTCTTTTGTCATCTACAAGGACGCAACAGAAACATTATAATATTAAAAAAAGATAACTAATAATACTAGTAAATTTGTAAAAACAAATTGACTACAGAAGTAAATATTTTATCTATCATAAGTAAATACCTTGAACAAAAAGTCGGACCGATTTCGGACTAATCCGGAATTTGTCCGCAAGAGTACGGTTTATTGTGGAGTTTTTTCATCCTGAATTAAGTTTGAACTGAATACAGTTTTTTATAACTATTGAATCCGTAATTAGTCCGATTTAGTCCAAAGTTAGTCAGATCATATGCAACTAGTAAATGCAGAAGTAATCCGATTGGTTTAACCAGTGAATCCGCAGCTAATCCAAAACAGTCTGCTTATGGTCTCAGAATTAGCCCGGATAAATCCAAACTCAATACGGTTTTTGTAAAACCAGTGAATCCGGAATTAGTCCAATCTAGTCCGAAGTTAGTCTGATAATATGCAACTTGAAAATGTGAAATTAGTCCGATTAAGTCCGGAATTAGTCTCGTTATGGTCAGGTTTATGTCACACGGAAAAAAAAGGTCTGGAAGAGATATCCATAAAAATATTGTTGAGCAGAATATTGTTTTGTTATCCAATTCAATGGAAGAGACAACTTTCAGGATGGAAGCACTTTCAATATTTAATGGATGCGGGAGCCATATTATATTGTTGAATCAAATATAGATGTGCCATCCATAAGCATGGTTGTGCTTACAATTCATGATATGGATTTTCACATATGGCTGCCTCAACCATACAAACTTTAGTTGGGAGATCCATAGTTAGTTCAAAATTTCGATACATGTTGCGCGCAATTCATTATCATGGCATCCATTTAAAAATGGTCGTCTCAATTTTTCCGTCTTTTTCACGTCTATATAATCACGTTGTGAGTTTATTGTGTATAAATAGTGTTATAATTGTTTATTATTTATTATCGTTATTGTCTATTAGTGTTTATGTAAATTCATTTTCATAAAATATGTGTAGAGTATATAAGGAATATTATATGCTCAAATATTGTAGTTGCGTGTATAGTGTAGTGGATAGCGTTAGTGTTTAGTATGCGTTAGGTCTAGGGTTCGTGTCTCCCCCATCAGTTAATAATTTATTTCGTAAATATGCGGTTATTCAATATGTGGTGTGTATTAATTAACAAAAATGTGTATAAAATATCTCAAGTGACATGGAATTTAATTAATTGAGTGATTCAAATTTTTTTGTTTCCCATTTCCATTACTATGGATCACCCAGCCATAGATCTTTTGCTGCTCCAACAATATGAGGCATTTTACGTGAAATGTCCTAAGTTGAAATTTCAACTTCTTGAAAAAAATTGAAACTCAAGGAATTTGTTGTTCTATCAAGTAGAAATGTGCCCCAAAAAATATTTTTAATTTTTTCGAAAATTTGGAGGGGGTAGAGGGGGGTCAATTTGACCAATTTTGCTAACACCGGCTACTTTGTGAATTTTTTCTGAACATACTTTTAATGGGAAAAATTTACATGCCGATAGGAAAAAAACTGAGCTTTCGTTTGCAATAGTTTATTTTAAAAAAACGGACCGATTTTTAAGAAATTGAAAATTAAATATTAATTATCAAAAATTAGGGTAAATTTTTCAAATATTGAAAAATAAAATACACACGGAAAGAAAAGGTCTGGAAGAGATATCCATAAAAATATTGTTGAGCAGAATATTGTTGTGTTATCCAATTCAATGGAAGAGACAACTTTCAGAATGGAAGCACATTCCATATTCAATGAATGAGGGATCTATATTATATTGTTGAATCAAATACGTATGTGACATCCATGGGCATGGTTGGGCTTACAATTCATACTATGGATTTTCACATATGGCTGCCTCATCCATATAAACTTTGGTTGGGAGATCCATAGTTAGTTCAAAATTTCGATACATGTTGCGCGCAATTCATTATCATGGCATCCATTTAAAAATGGTCGTCTCAATTTTTCCGTCTTTTTCACGTCTATATAATCACGTTGTGAGTTTATTGTGTATAAATAGTGTTATAATTGTTTATTATTTATTATCGTTATTGTCTATTAGTGTTTATGTAAATTCATTTTCATAAAATATGTGTAGAGTATATAAGGAATATTATATGCTCAAATATTGTAGTTGCGTGTATAGTGTAGTGGATAGCGTTAGTGTTTAGTATGCGTTAGGTCTAGGGTTCGTGTCTCCCCCATCGGTTAATAATTTATTTCGTTAATATGCGGTTATTCAATAAGTGGTGTGTATTAATTAACAAAAATGTGTATAAAATATCTCAAGTGACATGGAATTTAATTAATTGAGTGATTCAAATTTTTTTGTTTCCCATTTCCATTACAATGGATCACCTAACCATAGATCTTTTGCTGCTCCAACAATATACAGCCAGCCATAGAATATGGAAGCAGCAACCTTAACTATGGATATCCCGTATTTTTCAATATAATATGGCTGTGATATCCATGTATCTGGATGTGTCAACTATTCCTTTTTCTCCGTGCACCATTAGAAAGAGGACGAAAAAACCTTTCAGAAACATATTCTAAAAAATTTCTCCCATTACAAGTATGTTCAGAAAAAATTCACAAAGTAGCCGGTGTTAGCAAAATTGGTCAAATTGACCCCCCTCTACCCCCTCCAAATTTTCGAAAAAATCAAAAATATTTTTTTGGGCACATTTCTACTTGATAGAAGAACAAATTCCTTGAGTTTCAATTTTTTCAAGAAGTTGAAATTTCAACTTAGGACATTTCACGAAAAAGGCCTCATATATATACAGCTAGCCATAGAATATGGATGCAGCAACCTTAACTATGGATATCCCGTATTTTTCAATATAATATGTCTGTGATATCCATGTATCTGGATGTGTCTACTATTCCTTTCTTTCCGTGCATACGAAAATATATTTATAGTTTAAATTTATCTGAATTTAATACAAATTGTTTTTAATATACAAATTCAATATTATACCAAAATCTTTGCATACAGATTTTGGATTGTTCCATACTTGTTTCGGATTAAATCTTTCAACTGGATTACTTTCGGATTATTGCTGACTGATTTCGCATTCTTTACATATTGATTTCGCATTATTCCGTATTTATTTTAGATTAATTTTTTAACGGACATAATTTCGGATTGTTGCGTAATAATTACGGACTTAATTCATAGACATTCATGATTACTCCAAACTGATTTAGGATTTATAATTTTGCTCGGATTAACGTTAGATTAATGCGGATCATTTTCGGATATTTTTCATATAATTATCGTCCTAATCCACAATAATATGTCCGGATTTAATCCAGATTAGCCCGAAATTTTTGCCAGGGATATAATATAATTCGGGTGTCCGACTATTTCCGGATTCTTATCATACATTTTTCGGATTGTTTCGTATTTGTTTTGGAATAGTATTTTACCACACTAATTCAAAATTGAAGCGGACTAATGTCGGATTGTTTTCGTACAGATTTCGGATTATTTCGTATATGTTTCGGATTATGCCTTTTAATTGGATTAAATCCGGATTATTTCAGACAATTTTCGGATTCTTAGCATACAGATTTCGGATTGTTTCTGATAATGTCTTTCAACCCAGGTACACTGTAAAAAAAGGGAGTTAAGGCTATGTCCAAGTTGTGAAATGTAAACAAACCAAAAGGTCACTACACCAGCACTAAAAATGCAATTTTGTGACATCCAATTCTCCCACAAAAAATAACATTTTTACACTTTCTTTACGAAAATGGTAAATTAGAGTATCAAAGTTTCCAAAAAAATCATTTTTGACTATGAGCAATAAAAAGCAATTAGTAAAATAACTAATTAAAATGACCTGTAAAATGTCATTTTTGACGCGTCGCGAAAATAAAACTGTTTGAGTATATCAACCGCACTGACGATGAAGAAGTTCCATGTCAGCGATTGGACCTTCAACATGTGGAAGGGTAAATTTTTCCCTTTCCTCCTTAAAATTACAAGAGAAAGGGTAAAAACTTCTTCATCGTCCGTGCGGTTGATATAGTCAAACAGTTTAATTTTTCGCGACGTGAACTCTGCTGCTCGCTGCGCGTGCGCAGACCGTACCAAGGTCGCAATGACATCACCATGCAAAAAGGCACATTCTCTTTTTGACTGAAACTCAGTGGTTTTCTAATTTTTTCAGTTATTCAAAGTTTAGTAACCAAATTCGATACTTTAGTTCACCATTTCCATAAAGAAAATGTGAATTTATATTTATTTACGCAAATGCGAACAGCGAAAAAATGCTTCATTATAGACCGAATAGTGAAGCATTTTTTCGCGGTTCCCATTTG